GGAATGGACCAAATTTAATCCCAGTGGTCAAATGCCCAGGGCCATGGGGAAAATATGAATCTAAACTTGGGTTTGGATAAGAATTTTGTTCATGACAGCATTTTTCTATGCAGCTGACTGTTCCAGGATCCCATATTTTTACAAGTGGGAGAGGAGTATTTTAAAATTTAGATGAAAAATTTGAACCTTGGACCATTTTTTTTTTTCTGTATTTTTTTGTAGAAGGTCAAAGGAGATACTTTATGCTTCAGTGAATTTCCCAATCTTCCTCTGAGTTTAGGAAAACAGATGCTGCCTTCTGACATCATAGTTCTCTCCAACAGATTTGAAAGAACCTCCTACCCTGTGTGGCACTTTTTTTAAAAAGCGAGGATTGAGTCTATTTCCATGAGATTTTGCCCAAAGTTGTTCCAGGGGGTGTATAGTTCTACAGAGATCACTCATTGACCACATTTACAGAAATCTGTGGCATCGACTCCTTTGTAAATCCGAGGCTTTTTCAACTGCACAGTCAAGAAATCACTCTTAAGATTTTTCTTTGGACTTAAAAAACATAGCGGAGTTGTACAACCTTCAAGCAAATGCCAGTTAATTGTTTTATTATCTGATTGTTTTTATATTCAAAGCTAAAAGAACAAACTAACAAAACAAAATATGTAACCTGGCATAAGCATAAGGGGGTTCAGTGATTCTAACAGCAGCACAAATGAAAGTATTAAAATAAATTACTAATAAAATGATTCATCTTACCAATTTCTTTGCTTTGGATTTGCACAAGAGGTGGTAATCTTTCCCAGATGCTGAAAACTTCTGCAAAGCTTTACAGTGAGCATGAAAAATTTCTTTTTTCTGGCTCTGTGCTCTAATTACTAAATTATATTCCCATGGGTTCACCAGCCCTTTCACCTATCTATTCATTTTGTTAATATTATCCTTTTCACAAAAAAACTCCTCAGATGCTGCACATAGGAAAACAAAGAGACTAAAATCGTAACCTAGCCCTCCAGTGTCTGACCATTGCCGAATCAATAAAAAATTTTCCAATTAGGGAGGGAGTGCTCCAATACTTTTTAAATATTATGGAGTACGTATGTTTTAAATGCTGAGCTCTGAGTTTTAAAATGACACTTAAGTATGTTTATCCATATCCCATCAGGTCTGGTAGAAGTGAGGCAAAAGCCTTACTATAGCATCTATTTATCAATTAGTCTATGAACTCTCATTCTGTCATAGCACCAAGCACACTTCAAATAAATGAATCATTTTTTTAGGAATACTAAAATCAAGAAGATTAAATTCCTGTATCAAAGATACGTGTGCTGTTTAAGCCATACACATCTCACTAAGTGAATTACACTGAATTTAGATGAACCTTATTTCAACTCCAAATCTTGTTCTACTTCTGCTAAAAGAATATCTTTTCAAATAACACAAGGAAGAATGGGATCTCTATTCTTACTCTATATACAGTAGCCAAAGGTAATATCACACATCCAGATAAAGAAAGTACAACATTCTAAAAATGTGATTTTCTTGATTAGGATACTAGCAATCCTTGGAAAGCCAATGAAAGTCAGGAATGCAAAAATTCATCAATACTGTTTCCCATATTTACAAGAATGGAAATATTCTGTCAGCAGAAGACCCTAATGTGCTCACAGGGGATTACTCCTGGGTGAAATTTATAACCTCCAAGGGTTCTTTCTAGATAGGCCAGAGCAGTTGAGGATGCTTGGGTTTTTGTACTCAAGGTATATCCTTTTCAATTTCACTGTGTGTAAATTTAACTAATGAAGAAAAATTAAACATTAGTTAGGAAAACAGATTCTTATGAGACGCTTTCAAGAATAATGTAGAAATGCCTGATGAAAATATCTTTGCAGTCCCAACTAGACAGCTAGCAGAAATTCAGGCACAAGTGAAAATCACCTTATATAAATGCGATTATATATCTTATATACCCTGTGAAATCAGTGGGATCCAATCAGTTACACGTGTGTCTTTTGTTTCCAATGTTATAACAGTCAAGAATCTAGCAGATGGTGATATTTTTCAAGGAATTTTTTTTAAAGAGCTCCTATAGACTTTCACACAACTGAATGGGCTTGGTTATTTGTGTATACAAACAGCTACCTCCATACCTAACTAAGCAGGACTGCAAATTTTGACATGAATGCTCATTGTACGAAGATTTAGTGTGTAGATCAACATCATTATCAGGCCAAATTCAGAAAGGTAAGCTGAAAAGAGTCAGATTTTACTTGATGGTAACCACAAATATACCCCAACAATAAATACCTGAACTCATACATAAAAGTGAAAATTTCTGGAGCCTATCAGGAGACAGTCCCATTAAGCTGATTTTAAAAGAAAAATTTAAAGCCAAATGACTGTTTTTCAATTGCAAAAATAAGAAAATAAGAATGCAATATTTTATGAAGTATTTTGCACTGTTCCGATGCTAAAATGCCTTGCGCTTTAAGTGGAATTTTTGCAGGTCATTAGTTCATGATGCAAACCATTTTAGTATTTTTACAGGAAAATGAAGGTGGGAGAAAAACAAGATGAGCTGTTTTGCTTACACCGGCATAGGAAACTGCATTCCTAAGCATTTAATTCAGCTAAAGCGCTACCTGTTAGAGAGTTTTAGTGGCAGATGCTATAATGACAATGAAAGTGACTGAAATACACGCTGAAGCTTTTTGAAAGTAGCGTGGTGATACACAGCATGCTTCTAAGATAGGATCTGTCCCCAGTGTATCAATCACACATAAAGAAGACCAGAACTTAATCTTCAATCCTCATATCTCATCCCCTGGTGTCTCCTTTCTCTTCTGCTTTTGCTGGGAGGAGACAGAAGGTTGCCATGAGATTATTTCTATGGCAGCTTCGACTCCCCCACTGGTTTTCTGCTCAGTACCTGTGACTGACACTTAGTTTCGCCTGAAGGACAAGGACAGACTTCTGAGTGCCAATCAATGGAGCGTGCCACACGCTGTAATTGAAAAATACAATGCTCTTGCAACAAGATGAGGACATCATTTTTAGTGCAAAGCTGAAAGAGAATCGTAAGCGAGGAATATGTAGCTCACATTTATTTTTATGGCACCTGACTTTACATGGCCAAAAGAAATGCACCTGAGCTACAGATTTTGGCTCCAGACCTGAACTGCCTGTAATTCAGCAATGCCCACATCAAGGTTAAGCCCCACCTTTTATTTAATCTGCAGACCATGAGACCTTTTCAGCCCAATCATCCCAACCTCATGTCCTGATGTGCTGCCATCCAAGTTATCTGTTAGCTTGGTGCACACGACAGCATAGCACAGCACAGCACAGCAAGCCAGTGTTAGTAAACCTGTGAAAGTATCCAAACTACACACCCCTAATCTTAGGCCATCTTGGACTATTAAGTACTTTTCTTGGGCTCTTCTTCTTTTATGGAAACCTCTTGAGCAAAACAATGCAGGACGTACTTGGGAAAAGCCTGTCCTTCAAAATAGTGCAAAAGCGAGCAAAACATGGTCAAACACCTGTAGAGGCTTACCTTGGCAGTGTGTGAAGCAAGCTAAGGAAAGTTGTCCTTAGGGATCCCACTGCTGATAGGACAAACAAAAGCATCCCAAGGATTTGCCTAAGGTCACAAAGCAATTCAGTAGCAGAATGACACCAAATGCTGCTGCCTCTCTTTTTACTGTTCATTCTGGCTGCGATTTCTAACGGGAGATTTGGGAAGTTACATACCTTTCAAAACATAAGTGAACGTATTTAGAAACTCTTCATATGACTGCTCGTGGCTATAAATAAATTGATCAAGGATGCTGCTGTTTGACAGTTGTTCTCCCATGATCCACACCTTGACAGTCAAACAGCTATATCTGCATTAGTAGGAGGCTTCTGCAATAGAAAGAAAAGCACCATATGTATCTGGAGGCCAAACTAAATGAACTGAAAAGTCCCTAATTCACATAGATGAGCATTAGAATGTCATTTTTTTTTTTCTCCTCTCCTTGTGAAGTTCTGATCTTGTCAGTGGGACTTCAGACAATATCACAACATTCCCCCCAAAATTCAAGTCATTTTCAGTGCAAAGGGAGAGACTGTAATCACCTCTGCCCGAAATTTATGTCCTCGGGTAATGTGGGCCTCCCTCAGTGGTGTTCATTCCCCCTCAATTTAAGTTGTTCACTCTTCCAATCCCTGCCTTCTTTGCAGAAACAGTGACACCACTCACCAGGCGTGTTAGTTTTAACAACTGGGACACCTGTACATTGAAAACTTGGACTGAATCCATCCTTCTGCAGGTGCGCTGCTCACTGTACCATCAAAGCCACTAACCCCAGATTTTGGAGGGCATGTTAAATCCCGATGAGATGTGTGTGTGGATGTTGAGACAGCACAGAGGATGGGGAGGGTACAATGGAACTGGGCAGCCACGTAGGAAGGCACGGACCACTCCTGAGAAGGGAACAAATGCTGAGAGCTGAAGGAACCCCACACAGGCTTTTCTGGACTTGAGAGCTCCATTGTTCAGCCACACACCAACAGCATTTCAGCCCATCTTCATCACTTCACCAGACTCTAAGGGAAATAAAGGCCCTGAAACAGCTCCTGGTGAAGTCTGCTGAAGTTCACCTTGACCCCTCTCTTAGAAAAGCTGAGTAAATGCATTTTAACAGTTGTGTGATGCTAAACAGTTAATAGTGTTACTACTTTTTTTATACACATAGGACCAGACTACTAGCAGCAGAAAAAGAGAGGTGAGGACGTGGACACACATAACTGGCACGTTGTCTCATACGGTGGCAACCTAACTACAAAATGTGAATGACCAGTTTGCATACATACATGTGATAAATATGCAAGAATGCATTATACAATAAGTGCTTGATTTTCATGTGTTCCCGTGTTTCTTCTCTTGATTTACCACAGTATTAAGAACTGTCTTTTGGGAACAAAAGCTTAATTCTTCAGCAAAACTTCAAATCAACTACACTAAGGAATGGCTGCCAACCTTATTTTAAAGTTAAATAAGCTCCAACAAGAATTGTTCAGAGCCCAGCAGGAGAACAAAGCATGATTTCTAATGTCAAAGTCTAATTTTGTTGGATTGCCAGCTTGTAAAGGAGATAAATTTTCAAAGATATAAAAACACACGCACACCCACGTGACCTAAAGATAAGTTTTCTAATGTTTTACAAAAAACAAACTATTATTAATCTCTCTGTGGACTGACCAAGCAGAATATAATTTACTAGCCTCTCAGAGTGGTTTATGCAAATCACAGTGGTTTCAAAGGGAAGCAACGACTTCCATTCCTCATTATTGTTCAGTTACTACAGTCATTATTTGAGGCAAATTTCATTAAATGAAAGACTGCAGTGATTTGTAAAGCCAGTGTCAAAAAATATACAGATATTTAATCAAGAATATGGTAATAACAACCTTTTGTTTGTCTTTGGTCTCTGTTGTGTAGGATCTCCAAGTCTTTTATAAACATTAATGAAATAAACTTCACAACAGTCCCATGAGGAAGAGCAAACAAATATTATTCCAAATACCTGATGGAAAAACTGAGTCACCAAGAGCTGAAATGACTTATAAACAAATCAGAGGAGGGTTAGATTCCTTTACTCTAAAATGCTCTAGGAAGCGAGAAAATTGATAAGCAATTTTGGGGAACAGTTGTATCCTTAATCAAGCTGAGTACCAGCTTTCTCCGTGAATGCCATGTTCTACAGACCGAGATGAAGCATCCAGACCAGGTGTGGGCAAAATGTGATAGCTCAGTTCTTACTCTGCTGCCCAGCCTCTGCTTCCTACTGAACTTGGGAGACTTCAGATTGTAACATCCTCTACTGGTAGAGGAGCAATAGTGCAACAAAACTCCGGATAAACACCAGGTTTTGCCTCATTACAGCTCGCTAGGAAACGCAGTGCCAAATTCAACTTGACAACGTTTTAGCCAAACTCTGATTGCAAAATCCCAAACATCAGCCTCATGAAAAAGCAAGCACTGGATGCTCTTGGAATATAATTTAACATCTAACACCTGAAATCTCCTGATGTATGGAGATGAGGAAGTTAGCCCTAAAGGTTTTAAAGCATATATTTTACTGAGCCTATATATTTTCAGCTAGCATGCACTTCAATACACATGCATTGGGAGAAGCAGCATCAAAACAGTATTACTTAAAAAAAAAATAGCAGAGAAAATTCCCCGTATATTCCAAGCATGGGAAAAGATTACTTTCTCAAGTCCAACAGCTTTTTTTTTTTACCAGAAAATGGACCAAATTTTTACCCAAGTCAAAACAGTAACTCTAGAGTAGCTCAATACAGTTATTACAGGCATTAGTATATGAGATCTGCTATCAACTATGTCAAAGGTATTCATCTTGGGTGAAGAAAATAAAACAACTTGTCATTCAGAGGCCATATTTCCTTATTTTTTCTAAAAAAAAAAACAAAAAAAAAAAAACAAAAACAAAAAAAAACCTAAATAATGCATTTTGGAATGTGAGTTCACTAAATTATTCATATTTTAATAAATCCTAAACTGGAAAAGAGGGGAGAAAACCCTTTTGTAATTTTGGCATCTATCCTCCACTGCTTTTTATAAGAACTTGACAGTTTTTCTTCAAAAATCTAAAGCAAGAAATAAAATGCAAAATGGACTACAGAGGTGAGAGTCCAACACGGACCTAATTTTCCCTTGCACAGCTGTTATTTATGTCTACAGAATCATCTCCTCATGGAGAGGAAAAACCAGCTAGGTCCTAATAAAAGCCTAGGTTCTGTCAGAAGAACTGTCATTCACACAAACAACAGAGAGGGGAGTCTGGCAGCTAGAACTACCTATTTCCCCCTGTTTTCAATTATTTTGCAGAACTGCAGGGTGCTATTGCATCACCCTAAATGAAAGCAAGCCCAGAGGATGGTATTTGGAGAACATCTGCTAACCCTGAAACTGAACATACGGTTAGGATGGATGGATGGTACAGTAGAGATGTTCAGAAACATATCTCAACCTATCAAGGTTTTGGTATTTTCCATTCCACTTTGGTTTTCTGCTGCTTCCCACCCACTTTATTCCTGAGCCTCTCTTGAATGAACACCATACTGTGTCAGCTGCAGAGGTTTTGTGATGTGAACAGCTGAAACCAGGCTGACCAGAAGACACTCACCTTCACTAAGGAGCTAGCCAGTAGATTCTACATAAGTAAAAGGCTTCAGCAATCACCCAATTCACAGCCTCAAGGCAACGACTTCTTTGAACTGTCATGAAAAAAGAAAAAAAATGTACAATAATAGATTGGAATCACCCACAATTTATGAACTGGATACAATCACACCTCTACGAATTAAATGACTGCACAGTTCTGCTAGTGAGCAACGACTCCTGAAATCAAAAATTTTTCTTCTTTTTCCCAAAAGGCATCAAACTAACTTGGAGCTTTCAAGGAAAGTAAGGCAAGGATATCTGATTCTTTCCCTGTGCTGGCTCTAGATAGTTTTAGAATCGAATACCAGTAAGTGATGCATCCAAGCAGCAACGATACTTTCTTCTTTTTGCATTTCACTCCTGCTCTTCCATCCAAATTACTGTAATGAGGTTTCCTGAGGTGATCATTCATTAAACCTTGCTGATCATTGACAGATTGTGCAAAACCAATTTTATTTCTCCAAATGCAGTCTTTTCCCAGCAGTTTAAGCCAAACCAGAAATCTCTGCATTGAATCACAAAGGCAGGTCAAGTGAGTATTAGCATGATTTCAATTACACAGTTATTAATTCTATTAAACAATAAAAAATGTGGTGGAATGTAGGCTTTCTGGTTTATCCTGCACTTTTGAGTGCTTTATCATGTTTCTTTTCAATATGATACAGTCAATGAAAGAAAAACCAAGATTCTGAATTTTTAAATGGAAAGAGCAATAAGCTAATTGTCTCTACACACTCACTAAAACCTTACATAATTTTATTCTTCTGGACAAAAAAAAATACTTCCCTAGTGTTTTTCGCATAAGTTAAAGTCAGGTTTCCACACTATGAACTTGCTCTCACAAAAGTCATTCTCAACAAAATCAGAGATATTCAGAAATGTTTATTTATAGATCACTAACGAGTTCATGGAAAATATCACTGGATAAACCTTTTACAACCTATGTCTCCACAAATCAGATTGAACACAAATACATGATTTTTACATCTTATACCCTGTTACCACTGGACAATCCCTGATCTTTTTTCCCTATAGAGCCGGCACAATAACTACAGCTGTCAAAACTAACTTTTTTTCAGAGGGGTCTTTAGTACTTCAGACCTAACTAACCTCCCATGAAAGCAATCCTACTCTCTTACGACCCACAACACAGAACTAAGCAACAAGCATTTCTACAACACCTCTCATCCATACGGGTTTTACATGTCGCTCTGCACTAAAGACCTTGATTCTGGGGACTTTCTTGGGCTGGCTAGTTGAGGAACACAAAAGTTGTCACTAGTGATGGGGCGGGCTGGTAAAGGCAATGCAGAAATTATCTCTGCAGGTTGTCTGCTCATGTAGTGAGGCAGTAGTGCAGTCATATAGGCAAGTCTTAAGTGTGCAATAAGTTGTCAAGGGTCCAAGTTACCGGTGCTAGTTACTGCTTATTAAGGACGATGAGAAAGCACGCTGTGGTTCAGGACATCAGACTCTCCTCTGCAACCTGTCCTGGGAGCTACGTAACAGCATGCTGTCTCTTACAAAAACCATAACATCTCCATCTTCCTCCAGACAGCAGTACCACAGAAGTCACCCCAGGTAATAGATTCACCCATATACTTGTGTAAAGCTTGCTTAAG